AACTCAATATGTCTCTCAAAATTTGTTTTCTTTTTCCAATCTTTCACTAAAGATTTACGTTCTATTGCTTAATTGCAACATAGTTACAAATAAATTGTACAGAAATGTTATTAATTTATAATATTTGCATCCATCTAATAATTAGGGAATAGTATCATAAATATAGGACACACACACAATATAAATAGTAAGTGTTATAATATTTATATAAAATATAATTTCATTAAAATAAGTCATATCATATACATATTTAGTAGGTACTGATCTATATCATATTAATGCGGTTGCAGCAAATTTGGTCTAGTAAATAGTAACATGTCATATTGGTCACATATTAGTACATTGATGATCGCGTATACAAATTGGTCACAATAATATCTACATGTATTAATTTGGTATACCTGTGTATTAGATTATTATATTATATAGTATATTTTTATATAATATGATTTTTATAATTTTATACATTTAAAAAATTAATAATACATAACTAATAATTCACTAATACAGTCGTAATACTTTAAAAAAAGTTACCTATTTACCTAGTCAAAAGAATGAAAATGTACGTAAAATTTATGAGAAATAGGTACCTGTAGTATAGATAAAATAATTATCAATATTGTACCAGAATGACATTTCTGACATATTTTTAGAATTATTATTATTCTGTCATTATATATTTTGTTCTGTTTGTGACAAGGTTCTGCACCAGTGGTAATTTGATACATTTTCAAACGATTTAATTTGTCCTCTTTTTTTAATGATTTTAATGAAAAGTCAAAATATTCAGATGAATATAATTTAAAATTGAATTAAAACCATTGCACCATCGTTTTTTTTGTCGTTCTAAACGGTTAGTATAACCTTATTAACCAAATTATGACTTTATTCTAATTTAATGGCACATTGAAAAAAATAATTTAAACCAGAAAATGACACAGCGAGTGGACTGATCGTCATAGGTACCTCGTACCTATTAGGTACTAAGACGATAACTATTTTACTGGCTCGCAGTTAAGCGTATGGACAGTATAGCGCATAATAACATATATAACTGTAATAGGACACATACACGATAAGCAGGGTTCATAACATTTACGGTTAACCATGCTATGTTGTCCCGAATTTTCATTTCATTGCTATTAATTCCCATAATTATTCTTTATTATATTATTACCTACTTTATAAATTAAAAAAGCCTGTTTAGTCTAAAACGTTCAAAATAAAAAATACAACTGAGAAAGATATTAGGATTTAAGATAATGTCGCTCCACACTATTTTCTTTCTCTGCTCATCCCTGTCGAGTCACTACAGTCTTACAGTGTAACATACACCCATAGGCTATACTATAGGTTATACTATAGGCTATACTATAGGTAGGTACTTAGAAAATGTAGGTAGAACCAAGTTAGTAGAACCAATTTTGTATTCTCGTAGTTTGTGTTATTAGCGTTAATACTACAGTGAATAATATTGAATATGATAAAGATAATATTAATTATTACCTATAATCAAATTTAAAGTCAAGAACATTTTTATCTGAGGTTATAAACTGGTATTATTTTACGGTACTTCAATTTGTTTGAATGTTATGGCGAGTAGATATGTATCAAATATTACAATTTAAAGATGTTTATGTATCGTAGAAAAACTGATATATCGTAAAAAAGGCAACGTACAGACTCACACAATGCTCTTAACTTTAAGTTTGATCATTGGTCAATTCACTATAATAGATTTAAAGCCAACCATACAAAATTGGTTTTGCTGAACTCTGAACACGTATTTGTTTTGTAACGCTGGGTCAAAGCAAGAAAACAAATCCTCATAACAGTTCATATGAATGTTCATGCTACTATATTTTAATATTTATAATATTTATAATATTTATGATATTGTAGTTGATACTTGATTATCAGTACAAAATTACCTATTGCAGTCACGCGGCAAACAGTATTAACGGAGAAACAGTCGAATAAATTCGAAAGTTGGAGAAATTTACATTCTTACATAAAAGTATGATATTTTTAATAAATCGACAATATTAACTCTGTATATAGGTACAATAATTGTTTTATCAATTTAATTGATTTATTAAATGTATGACGTATATATACGATACTCATAGGTTAGGTTTATTTATATTTTATAGCTTTGAGTTTAATAAAATATAATAATATGCGTACAAATTTCAAGTTCCCTCGAATAATATTTTTGAATCACAACAAAGTAAGTAACACCGTTATTAAATCATTGTATACGAGTCAAGGACCTGAGCGAACTTGGAATAGAGAATGAGGAAGAACTGGCAAGATGCAGAGACCGGTAGAGGTAAGTGCAGGTTGTTGCGGCAATGGGCCCAAATGGCCTGTAAACGCCTTGAAGAAGAAGAAGAAAATTTAATGTATCTACGTTATTTTTTTTTAAAGTTAAATCACAAGCAAAATCGATTTTGTCAAAAAACCCGGGTATCCCTAAAAATTCCCATTTTTTTAAAAATGTTTGTTTGCTTTTCCTGCCACTTTTGAAAACTATTGGTAATTTTTTACTTTTGATCTCCCAAAGAAAAACCTATAGATTCTTTTTCGTACCAGAGAAGTTGCTATTGAAGAAAATCCAAGCATTTTTACTGCCACAAAACGTGATGACAGACACAAAAAAACACATACCATTGTAAAATTAATACAAAATTCAAAAATTTCAAATGGTTATTCCTATAAATAATTTAAAGTATGTAAAAATATTTTTCTATCTTTTTATAACCAATTACCTTACTATTTGTATTATAGTTTGTTTATATTATAACACGCTTGTTATTTATCTTTATAGAGTGAGTAGTAAGTTGTGCATATATATGAACAATGAACTATTGTATCATCAAATATCTGGGGACTAGTGTCCTCACAATTGAAATATGCACGTCTGAACCACGAATTAAGATATTATCAGTTATCGCTGATAGTTAAAATTTTTTTATTTCCTATTGAAACATGAAGGTATTGTGATGTGTCTAGATGTATGAAATGTACTTAATGATGAAACTTTTCGAAAAACAAGGTGAATATAAATCCACATTTACTTTCATGTTACATTTTATTACGTACATCATACATTTGGAATTTAATAAAGCTAAAATGCTGTAGCTAATCTGAAAAGTAGTATTCTACATTTAGGAATGAAGGAAAGCCTCCCACCGTCATGTGTTAAATTATTTTGCACTTGAGATGCAATTTTTAAATCGTTGGATGGAGCTCCTCTACTTAATAATCCCCAATTTGAGCACTGGATCAGATCCAATCTTAATGACTCAATAGTAGATACATTATGTTGATATTTCGATATACATACATAGATATGACGTAAGAATACATCGGACAGTAATGTAAATATATAAATTATTTCTAAGAGCGAAGAAAACTTAGAACTGACTTACTAACTTGTTAAGGGCGCACAAGTTGCTTTTTCTTGCCCTCTCTCCGTATTCACTGTTGCGTGTATAGCAGGTTACTAAAAAGTAAATAGATCTATTTAACCACAGTAAAAGTGAAAATAAATCATTACCTATGGAACGTACTTAAGTACAAAGCAATATACCCTATATTTTTTTTATTATTGTTAGAATAATTAAGTATCTATAGGTATTAGCCATTAGGTATAGCTGCTAATCGGTATAGGTTTCTACTTACTAGTAAATTTCTTTAATGTAACAAATTCTAACTTTTGTATAGAACTTAAATGTGTTTGCAGCCTTAATAATCAGTATATAATTTTTTACTCAGTTTTAATCTTCATTGTTCCAATATTGTTTATTTTTTAACCGTCAAAAACGTGTCGGGCTACTGAAATGCACATACATAATACTATTTATACGTGTCTATCTAAAAATACGAGTATATCTACTATATAGTATTACTCGTTTCAATGTGTGTGTTTCAAATTTAAATGGACATTTAGATCAGTAAACGTTTTAGATATAGCGTTGGACGACTGGTCTGAGTCTCAGATAGTCAGATTTACAGATACTTAGATGCTTTACTATTTTAACTTTTAGTTAAACATCCTGTGCATCTACTGATAGTAGGTAAGTATAATATATGATACCATTTATACGTAATACCTATGCAATATGCCAATATGTATTGGTTAGTTATAATATGATTGATCACTAACATAGGGATTACATTATGATTCATGAGTTATGACGTATTCGCGTGCATAATTTGCTGGTTAAAAAGTGATTAAAATCTGGTCGGAATTATTTTTGGCAGAAACCATGAGCCATTAGGACCCCGACAGTGCTGTCGTAGTCGTCGATACATATATCGTGCGTGCAGACGGCGGCGATTGAATTGGTCGACACTCGGCGCGACTCGTCGTCGTCGGTTAACCATTACCGCAGTCGTCGTCATTAGCGATATACCGTCATACCGGTGAACGGGTATTCAATATTGAATATAATAATATAACACACACAACATCACGTACATACGATAATAATGAAATATGTAATACCGCAGACGTGTATATAATAGTAATAATAATAATAATAATAATAATATAATAACGGACCACGACACAACGGGGAAGGAAGGGTGTGCGTGCTGGCTTGTCGAAGGGCGGGTGGTCGGGGGAGGTCGCGTGCGGCTTTGGCGGCGGAGCTCGCGGGCCACGGTGGTTTAGCTGCAGCGTCGTCGTTGGAGGTGGTCGCCGGCGGTTGGGGACGGCGGAGTGAGTGCGGTACGTAATGACGAGATGGGTGTTTGCGCGTGTGTGAGTATACGAGTGTGACCGACTGCGGGACATTGATACACACGGACGGCGGCGGCGGCGGCGGCCGGGTCGCGACGATAGAGTCAGGGGCGGCGGTGGGGATGGGGGCCCGATCGGTGTACGAAAACGAAGAAGAATCGGTGGAAAAACAACACACGGGCAGCGCCGGTCGCACGCACGCACGCCGCGCGCGCACACCGACACAAACCCGCGCGCACACACACGACAGTCTCGCGCATTAATAAGTGTATTATACGCACACACACGCAAACTCGCGCGCGACGCGCCATATTGAATCCGACGTCCGCGTTTGTGTATGTGTGTGCGCGCGTTAATTTTCGCGTATCCGGCCATTACCGGATTACCCGAGCTCGCCGAGTGTGTGTGTGTGATGTGCTACGACCGTACGACTCCGACTCGAATTTTTTTTGGTTTGTGGAAATCCGTTTCGCCCGATCCGCAGTTTTTTTCGCCGTGACACACCGCCGACAAAGTTGAATACGACCACTGTGCGCTGTTGTGCTGTTCTACAGCGGCAATTAAACACCGCGATTAGATTACGACTAACGACGACGAATCAATCCCGGCGATCGAGACTGCCGCCGCCTCGTATCTTCGCCTATTAATAGTAAAATTGATTTAATTACGACAATATCGCAGGAGTGCAGGACTGATCGTCGTCGAATCCCTTAAATTTTTTATTTTGTGCCGACCTCCCCCCCTTTCCCGGGTCTGGACGCCGTCGTCCGGATGACCGTCGCTTTTTCGCCTTCGCGGGCCGCGCGACGCTCGCGATTCGTTGCCGCCGCCGTTGCTGTTGCTGTTGCTCGTGCCGTTGTCGTCGAACCACGACGGCGCGATGGCCGATGACGACCACCGGGCCGCCGCTACTGCAACAATAATAACAAGTACGTTGTCGACGATGCCGCTGACGCTGTTATCAATCCGTCGTTACAGTGTTGTTTTGATGTCGGAATCACATTTTGCCGTCTAGTCGCCGCCGCCGGACGCAACGACCGAAAAACGGATTACGGATAATATTGTTATTATTATTATTATTATTATTATATCGTCGTCGTCTTTTGTTTCCACCATCGCCGCCGCCGCTACCGCCGATCGACTTACTGCGTAAGTATTGTTATTGTTGTTGTTATTATTGTTTTCGTTTTCGTCTCGTCGTCTGCAAAAACCGATTTCGTTATATATTTTCATTACGTTTTCGTCAATATTTATTATTTGTTCGTGGTGCATTCTGTGAATGTGTGTGTGTGTGTGTGTGTGTGTGTGCGTGTGCATGTGCATGTGCGTGCGTGCGTGTGTGGTAAAAAACTTGACGGCGAAAAGTCTTGTACCTGCGTCATGGCCGCCGCCGCGTTTGTCGTTTTCCCGTCACCTTGACACGAATACAAATTACACGTTTTGCCTGAACGAGATGGACGTGTCGCCGAATTCTTTTGACCGCGATCGTATCGTGTTATAATAATATGTAACACACGCTCGTTCGTGGACCCAAAGTTCTGTCCTGGGTTTACTCGGTCTTCGTTAGCAGGCCAACTCGTCATAATCGCAGGTCTGTCTCCTGGCTTCTGACCGCACGTCTACGCCAATTACTACCTTCTCTCTGCCGTTGTCCATATGGTATGTCGCCATCTAAAGTGGTTATACTCAGTCAAAAACTCAAAATCTCCTCACAAAGTACTAGACCAGGCCTATGAGAAATTGGTCCACACATAGGTACCGATGTCGCTTAGAAAATACTAACGTTTCAAGAGAATTTCACCCAGTCATTTAGACAATTATTGCTTTGATCATTATACTGAAAGTTATGAAAATCCATAGTAATAGCGGGTTAAAGATAACTATTTTCTGCACTGAATCCATTGAGAGTTGTAATATTTAACAGTAAACCTTGGTGTTAGTAAACTTGATATTGCCTCTGTAAAATTACATTTCTTCTCAACTGATGATAAATTAGTTCTATGTAAACTAATTGAAATGTGAAAGTGTTAATTATATTTGACTAATAACTGCCTTTAAGAAAATGAACATAAACATTTTTCTCAATTTTAAAGTATTCTTGATTCTACTTATATCTTGTTGTATATCTCTTATTTATAGCTTTAAAGATAAAATACACTAAATTAAATTAAGATTTTTTAGAAGTTATACATCTTAAATTGAAGGGCCCAATGTGCACTTCAGTTTCTTATCAGAAGTAGGTATAACTTAAAAGTTCTGCTATCAATCTCTGTTGATGTTATGGTTAGTAAAGTATTTGTCTAATATTGCCATATTACTGCAATAACCTTACTTCCTGATGTGTATTATTCTTTGTTGTTTGTATTCAATGTCTTCTATTTTATTTATCCACCATATAACTTATACCTATTATAATTATTTACCTATTTAATTAACATCATTTGTTTTCTATTTTTTATAATCAATAACTTGTATAATAATATATTTTTTCCAATCCATTTTTATTATTAATTAGTAAGGTACTTAAAAAATGTTGCTTTATGGATACAATTTTCCTTTTAATTTTTCTTACCCAGCCACCTATGTACAAAATGTGCTTGACCCTATTCAAAGTTTAGCATTTAATTATGTTACCATCACATTTTTCCAATTCTATAAGTTTTAAGTATTTAGGTATGATGAATAATTAATACATTTTTTATATTTATTTTTCATACAAATTAGTGAGGTGGATAGGTATTATTTTTTGTTAATTAAGATAATATGGTACAAACACGATAGGTACATAATAGTTTTTTTTATCCAAATTATTATTGGTTTTTTTTGTCCAATTGAGTTAATTGTCTGGTAATAGTTATTATTTTGATTAAGATTCACATTAGGTGTTGGGTACGTCATTAATTATTTCCTTGTATACCTATTCTAAACTTATATTTTAAGTGATATTTAATTTAAAACAATGTTGGATATCACTTAGATGTTTTTGTTCTGCCTAAGTAAGGTTTCATACAATAAATTCTAAACAGTTTTAATACTGATTACCAGTTGCCTTTCATTTCCAACTTGATATCTTGTATTGTACATGCAGTATGTAATCTGTAAATTTTATTTTTCTTTAGACACAACTGGTGTATTTATTTAATTTTTAATACCTAATTCAGCTAGAGTTTTTAGTTTCTATACTTGAGTTAGGTTAGGTTTTTTTAGCATATTTTTGATCTATTTAAGTTATCAATGGTCATACTTCATGAAGTACAGTTGATGATCAAATATAGTTTAATTTTGATTCTTATTCTATTCATAATAATCATGGAGTATATATCGTATATATATATCAGTACTAAATACTGTTATTGGCACGTAAATATGCTTAAACTAAATACAATTTTTGATTCAATACCTACTTTACTTTGTAGATCACAAGCTAAACAAAATAATTATTGACTTCCAAGAATCTTTAAGCATTATATAATTATTAAAATGCACATTCATTAGTAGAGAACCGGGTTCTGTAGCCAGGTGACGCGGGAAGAATGAGCTTAATCCGAGCATTCTCTTGTTGAACTGAGTTTAGGTACTGACTCGGTACTGACTTTTATCTTGAAAAAAAACAACTTGCTAAATTGTAGAAACATACATATAAATTTGTATTGAAGAAACTATTATAAATATTCATATATATATATATATGAGCAGGAAGTAGATAACCAACCTATTATTAATATTTAGTTCTATAATACTACTATGGATTAATCAACAGAATTTCCCTATGAAACAATTTTATTTTAAGTTAATTAGAATAATGTAAGTATTAGGTAGTTATTTGAAGAAATTATTGATCTCTTAAATTTAACTTAAACATGCATATTATATAATAAAGTCTAGAGGTTCAGGTTTATTTTTATTAAATGGTCTTAGATTATAAAGAAATAGGCACTTAATCAGTATTGACAAAAGTTTATTGAATCAATTACATGTACATAATTATATATATCTATATAAATATATTCATCATAGGCATATTAATTCAATTTACATATAATGATTAAGAAACATCCAGACTAATAAATACTTTTTTTTTAATGTTTTAGATTATGGCATCTCAAATGGAAATTGATGATGATGTTGTCGATTTAAGTATAACAAGGTAATTAAAAACACATGGTACTTTATTGATTTTTAAACCGATTACATATACATTTTATATTAAAAACTTCCATTTTTTTATTTTATTGATTATCTGAACTCGAAGAGATATTTTTTGTTCTTGTTGTCTTCATAGATTTATATGCAAAATATGATTTTGTATAAACATTCTGTACATTTAATATTAATATTCAAAGTAAAGCATTTATTTAATTACATTTTTTGTATTCTCTCGTTTCAATCGAAAAATAGGTATTAACAGCTACTTTAATTCTTTATCTATAGAGTTTTTATATCTATTTTTCATGTTTAGCAGTCGTACAAGTCAATCGTTGAGAGATGAACCACTTTCCTTAAAATGTACTCAGCCAGATGAAGCTCATATCCATATGAATGGTCATTTGGTTAATGGTTTCTCCTCAACTGGCAATGATTCTTCAGAGGAAAGTGATGATGATATGCCCCTTGAACTTCCACCATCCCCTAAGGTATTAAATATTTGTTTTAATTGTAATGTTTAATTGTAATGCATTAATTTAAAACAATTTATAGGATTCGACACCTCCCGAAGAAGTGTATGAAAGAGAAAAACTTGTCAGAGTTTTAAAGGAGAATCTCCGAACAGAAGAAATGACTTTGGTGCTTTTGAAAAAATTGCAACAATCTCAACAAATTAACCAAATTGCTCAGAGTGTCACTATCACGCCTCAGGCAGCTCATACTAAAGATCATTCTAATTTGTTGTCATCTCAATTGCCGACTGGGAAGTCAGCTCAGCCACCAATGCCTCATGTACCTCATCATGCAAAACCACCACCGCCCCCATTAAATCGCTTGGTAAATTTAAACATATTTAATGTTGTGTATTACAATTTTTTTACCAAAAATTATTTTATAGCCATCATCATCAAGATCTAATGTACATCAATCTCACCAGTCTATGTCTTCAAATCCCTTAATGGGTTCAAGTAGATTACCTCCTTCCAATGGTCTACAAAATTTGCAGAGGTCATCCAATGGTCGATCATCACATTCTGCACATTCTACACATTCAGCGCATTCGTCACCTTCAATTACACTTGAACGTGTAATGAAAGATCACCATTCCTCCAATACATCCCAATCGGTAAAAACAAATTTAAAAAAAAAAAAATCTATTATTTATTTGTTTTTAAATAATAATTTCAATTAATTAAAGGAACGTTTGAGAAATGATGATGGTCAAACACCTGCTCAGAGGCAAGCTGCTGCTAAATTGGCCCTTAGAAAACAATTGGAGAAAACACTGTTACAAGTAATTAATTTAGTTTTAATTTAATCTTGCAGAATTTTAATACGTATCTTACTAAAATAACAATTAGATTCCACCACCAAAACCTCCACCACCTGAAATGCATTTTATTCCAAATCCATCAAACACAGAATTTATTTATTTACTGGGATTGGAACATGTTGTTGATTTCATAACAAATGGTGAAATGATCGAAGCCAGCATACCTAAAGATCCATATAAGTGTTCTCAATGTGATTCAAACTTTACACCGGTTTGGAAATTGGAAAAACCTTCCAGAAGTATGTGTCTTATTAAATATAAAATTTATCTTTTTAAAATAAAATTTTTAATTTAATATTCATTTGCAGATAAAGAATCTAAAATTATATGTGAATTGTGCGTCACCAGCAACGTAAAGAAATCTCTCAAAGCGGAACATACAAATCGACTGAAGACTGCATTTGTGAAAGCTCTTCAACAGGAGCAAGAAATAGAACAAAGGCTGGCTCAAGTATCGCCACCATCTTCTGTTTCCCCAGCACCTGTGCATCCAATTCATATAAATCCACCAATGCCGTCCGTGCCCAAGCCAGCGCCTGCACCAAAACGTAACCCAACACCTCCACAACCACATAAGATGCATCCTTCGGATCCGACTGGTGGTAAATTTAATGCCGCAGCTGCAGCTCACCTTGCCCTCCAACAACAAATGCTCAGAGGGTTATCCCCTCATCCAGCAGCTGCCATGTTGCAATTTGCACCACTTCTGTATCCATACCAACTAGCCATGGCGCAAGCAAGTGGAAAAAATTCGGCTGCTGCGGTAGCCGCAAACCTTGCTGAGCTACAAAGGCAGGCAGTTGATTTGCAACGACAGTATTTAATGGAGATGATGCCCCAACAAGGCCAGTCCCGGTCTGCATCACAAACACCCACATCTGCGCACAATTGGAAATCATGATCCTAATGATTTAAGTATACCAAAATGCACATTCTATTGATTTTCCAGTGACTTGTGACTATCAACATTATTATTGTTTATATATATATATATATGTATACATATATGTATATATAATTGCACCTGGGAGATCTGTGCAGGCGTTTTGTACTCGCACATTAGACATGTTACATGTTTTCTTCGACAGGTCTTTAGAACTATCAAAGTTGCCGGTTTTCAATCAATGCATTCCAACATGTTACGCGTACATACTGCGTGAATTAGCTGTTGTGCTGTATCGACATCATTGTTATTTAAGACTAATAAAATGTATAGCATATAAATAGCACAACACGTGTTGTCATTATGGTTTAAACTGTCAAGCGGTGTGTATGGTATTATATCCATGAAATGGGTATGAAAAAAAACCAATAATATACTGACAAGTCTGTACATGTACACTTTATTAATTCATCATTACTACTCAGTCATTGTGCCGGACTCTATTTTATTATTATTTTTATATTTTAACTTTCAATTATTATTATTATTATTATTATTATTATTATTATTATTACGTTTCAAAGAAAACATTTGTAACAATGCTTTTGTGTTTGTACAAAATATTGTACAAAATCACCTTGTAACAAACCAATTGTTTATATTGTTCAATTATTTTGTAAATAATCCAAGTATAAGATTAACCATGTGAAATCTATGAAAATTTTTTTAAAAAATGTATAAACAAGAGCCATGTTATTAATGCGTCTGATCCAATATTTTCTTTTGTTTCATAATATTTTATTTGATAATTTTTTTTTTTTATGGAATCATGTTGTCTTTTTTATGAATGTATGTATGATGAATATTGTCTGAATGTATTTTTACTTATATAATAAAACCGTTGTACGTTTTTTTTTAGTCAATTCTGTTTCCATTTTGTTTTTACCTGGATCTTGTAAATAATAAGTTGATGGAATAATAGTTGTGCAAATTAATTTTTTTTAAATAAATACAATGTTTACATCTTATATTTTAAATGTTGACCTTCATAATGTACAATATATTTATATTCCCTCAGTAGCATTTATCAGGGCTTGAAATCGAAACAAAAATTTTCGATTTTAATTTCAATTTTGCTTATCGATATTAATATTTTTCGATTTCGATTTAAAAATAATATATTGATTTTGTGATTTTATGATTTTTATATTGATGCAGAATATCGATTTAATTATATTATGATTTCGATTTTAAATATAATTTTCTTTTATTTCAAATTAAGTTTAATTTTAAAATTTAAATAACATTATTTCGATATCACTGATATTAGTGAATTATTTTCAATTTTAATAGAAATTTTGAAAATCATTTACAAGCATTCACGATTTCGATATTAATTTTGATTTTTTAAAAAAATTTTAACGATTTTTATCGATATTTAAAATCGATTTTGAAATCGATTTCAAGCCCTGGCATTTATTACTATTTCCGTTGCTTTTATTTGAAATTATCATTACGTTATTACAGATACATTTTACCTATAATTCAATGAGAAATAATTTATTTTATAGTTTCTTCTCGACTTAATTAATTTTTTTACCTCAAATTTATTTTGAATAATACTTGCCTATTCATTATTGTTAATCTACTAAATTTATTTAATGTTGTTTTCCTAATATTCTTGATTTTAGTATATGATCAAATTCATCAAAACAGATATCAATTTTAGTTTAATTAATAGGTAGTTGAACTCTTAAGATGAGAATTAGATTGCATTTTAAGGGAGGTCGCAATCTTCACAAAATGAGCCAATTAATATCATCACAAAAATACATTTTTATTTCTTAAGGAGGGAGGAACTAAGTTATGGTTAAGCTCCAAAAACCATATATAATTTGATAATAATATACTCTGATACTAATATAATAAAAATCGGCCTTTTGTCACTATTTTCCAATAACTATTTCTTTTGTATTATTAATATTGGCATACTGATGTGTAGGTAGGTTATATAGTCTCACGTTTTGAGTAATATTTATGTTGTAAGTACAGTGATTATTTTTTTTTACTCTCAAATATTTAGTGAATTACTATGCTTTTGGATAACAAGCGTTTAAAAAGGTTTTCTGAAGCAATATTATCATACTTTTTTTTACATAAAGTAGAATAATTCGGTTTCTCGAGTCTTAGAAACTATACACTTCAGTACCTCACTACGCCAGTCGTCACTTATCTGAAAATTTCGATTTCAGTATCTCACAGGATTTTCATAATAACCAGCTTTATGACAAACTCATCAACTAAGTAACAATTTGCTCACATAAAGGGGCAATACCCGTTTGAAAAAAAGGTTTCATCTCCACATGAACAGCCTAAATAACTACGTGAATGGGTTACCGTTAGACAATAGTGAATTTTCTCACAGTTAAAATGCAGACAAGAGATGGCATATGTCATATTTGTAATTTTAATAGTGTGAGTAAAAATATGACTCGGTATAAATCGTCCTTCAAATAACAATACTTATTTCATAAGTTTTAAATATTAATTAATGTTTGTAAATTAAATTAAACTTTACAATTTGTCATGTTCGAAAAAATAATCAACATATTTAGTGATTCTTTTATTAGGTTCATCAACTTTATTATTCATAATAGGATATATTTTTTATTTTTTGATATCTAAGTACCTATTAGTGTTTAATGACTTACAAATAACAAATATAATAATAATAATGAATGAAGATCTAGGTAACTTAAAATATAATATCAGAATTCAGAGTTATAATTTATATTTGTTATCTGTACAATTGGAAAGTACTATTGTATTTTATCAATGATAATTCTCATTCTAGAACAGCGGTTCCCAACCGGGGGTAAGCGTACCCCAGGGGGTACTCGCGATGATCTCAAGGAGTACGCGAAAAAAATTGAGTAATGGCGGAAAAATATTGAATTTGGTTAATTTAAAACTATTCGTTTCAGAAATATACAATATACGTAATACGTTATTACAAATGAAAACTTGTGTCACACAAATAACAATTTTTTCTTAAATTATCATTCAAAAAATACTTTCCCAAACCTGAAGAAGAAAACAATTGGATTTCAAATCCTTTTAATGAAGAATTCTTTCAAAAAGCTACATCTTTATCGATCGTAGAAGAAGAAAAATTAATAGAACTTTCATGTGACACAACTTTAAAAA